CAAATAATGGGATCTAAAATAAGTGAAAAATCAAAAAAAAATGAAAGGAAGAAAGAAAACAAAGAAAAAAAAGAAAAGAAAAGAAAAGAAAAGAAAAAAAAAGAAAAGAAAAGAAAAGAAAATGCATCTTTCTTTTAAAGTTTTCGAGGAACAGATGCATCCTTACGGAATCTATCTCACATGTATTATATATATATATTTTGACGACGTATTCAGTATTTCGTAAAAATTTTCTAAGATATTCACCATTGTTATGTACACGTTTTATTTGAAATACTCGAAAATATGCATTACTCCATTTAACAAACGTTTGAATAATACTACAGTGATATGTAGTAGCGTAGAAATACATTTACATATATTTGTAAATGATTACAGAATGCTTTTGAATAACTGGAAACCTTCGTTTCGTAAAGTTTCGAATTTTCTTTCAAAATGAGAAAAGAAAATCTTGTATAGTAAAATGTTCCTTGCTGCGAACGTGATTTCTTTTAAAAAATGAAATTCCATCGTCGTTTTTGATTAACCTACGTAATAAATTATATGCATAGCATTGAAAATAATGAAGTTAGAAACCTAGCTTATGTTTATTACTATTACCAAATATTTTGTATGAATTATTTTTTTGGATCAATCTCTTTTCCTTCTTTCTCTTTTTTTTTTCTTAATTCTTTTTTCTCCATTCCAACACGAATCATAAAGCAGGTGTCCTCTCGAATCTAATATCAGAAAGAGAGAGATAGAAAGAGATAGAGAACAAAATAAATAAAAGGAATTTTTCTTTTTTATCTTTCTTAATTTTCTCTCTAACCCTTGTGTAAACTCGGCCACCCGAAAATCAACACGATTTTTAAATATTCATTTAATAAAAGTCAATAAGTAATTTGCAAGTTAAAAGAAAACGTTCCTGCTCGGACATTAATTTTCCTTCTTTTCTTATTTTCTTTCTTTCTTTCTTTTTTAAAAAGAGATTTTAAACGAAATAAAAAAATTTTTCTTTTAATTTCGAAACTTAAGTATATTTAACAATTAAGATATTATTATTATTTATCTATAGTTTAGTATCGTTTTCTTTATCTCTCTCTCTCTCTTTCTCTTTCTTAATTGATACCATATTGTTAAAAAATGAAGAAAAATTTATAAAAGTAACATAGAAACGAGCTGCGGAATCTACAACGCATCTTTCTCCCTTTTTTCGAAAGCAATAAGAGCAATTCTACGTGAAAAACCAGAACGGGTTAACTTTTTTGCGAGTTTCAGCTGACATGGCAAGTTTCACGTTCAACGATTTTTCTGCATTTAATATATATATAGATTTATCTTTTAAAGCCGAGATAGAAATTCAATTTTCTTCGTGTAAGTAGAAAAATTCTAAGATCCTTGATTATTTCTTTTTTCTTCAAATTATTTAACTAAATTATTTTTTTTTTTTATATCAAGATTTCGAAGAAATCGAAATTTTTCTCAATAGTATTAGTTTCACCGAATAAACGTACGTACCAGTGCTCATATTTATAAATTTTTCAGAAAATTAGAGACTCTTTTAATATTGCAAATATAACATATAAACTCACACACACATATAGATATCTACGTATGTATCTACGTCAAGCATGACGAGCATTAAAAATTAAATTAGACAAATAAGAAAAATACATGAAAACAAGTAGAAGAAATTGAAGAAAATTTATTAGAAAAAAAAAAAATAAATAATTGTAAAATAAAAAAAAAATAGGAAATCAGCGACTATTCAAATATCACATGTACAATATAAATATTATTACGCATTCTCTTGTATAAACGTATATGTATATCTACGAACCGGATGGCACAATGTTATAATTGGTTGACAAGTTAATTATTCTGCTCACGTATAATCGTTGGCGCGTGTCTCGGACATCAATAGTGGCTAGTATAGTTACCTTTGATAGAAAAGCCTCTACTAAATTAGGCAGTGATAGATAAATAAATAGGATAGACAGAGATAGACAGAAAGTCAAGAAAGATAAAGGTAAAAGTTGATACCGAGATAGAGCTTACAATTAGGAATACGCCAAGGAATTAGCCAATAAGAATCCTCCTCGTAAGCTTTGGAACGGATTGCTAGGACATTTCAAGCGAATTAGAGATTGGCATTCAATTACAATGGCTCGTAGCACAACCGATTTGGTAGTTTGTGTGTATGCATATATGTGGATCTTTCAGTAATTATATCTCTCWCACACACACACACCCTTACTCTGTTTCTCTCTGTTTTGCTCACTTACTCACTTACTCACTTACTTACTCACTCTGTTCTCTCAGTTTCACTTACTTCCTCTTACATATTCCTTCATCATTTCGTAAAACGAGAGAAACATACGTTACGTATGTATGCGCTTACATGTACATAAACATGTTAATACATAAGAGAAAATGCTCTTAGCCAACTACTTCTTCCCCACATAATCCGTTTTGTTGACCACAAATCTTCCTTCTCCGTCACTAAATTAAACTCTAATTCACGTCGACAAATCTTTAACGCAATTTTCTTTGTTCATCATTAATTTTTCTTTTTTTTTTCTTTTCTTTTTTTTTTGCCGATTTTATTCGATACTAATAGTTGATTTATTGTATACTAAGTTATTTGTATTCTAGATAATGTATATAATAGTTTGTATTGGTAAGATAATTGTTAGAATAATAATATTGGAGATATATTAAGTATATATTTATGTTAGCTTTTTGTTGTATGTTCAGTTAATTGTAAGCTGTGTATTAATGCGGAGAGAAATTGGAAGATGTGATAAATATTTGTAAAAGATAATGGATCCCTCCTCGAATCTCGTAAAAGGAAGAGTAATAAAAACAATCTACAAAAATACTGTTATTATTAATTTATAGAATAGTATAAATAAGTATTCCTATATATCTTGATTTTCTTATCTTCCGGTTTTGAAAAGTAAAATATAAAATGTGTTTGTGTGCTCACAATTTTTATCATACAAATATGATATTCTATAAAGATTCAATATAAAACTATTAGGTCATTAAATATGAAATTTCTGATTTCGAGATGAAAATAATCTGAGTAATTAGATATTTCATAGTTAATAACCTAATATTATCACAAGCATTCTATTTATATATATAGAAATAGAAATGTGTTTAAATATTTAATATATATTTTATATCAAAATAAATAAAATATTTCTTAAGAAAATTTCTGACATGTTTTGGCTAATTTAAAAATATAATATATTAGATTAGCCCTATTTTTATTATGAAATAATACTAATTTCCACATTATTTTTTGACCAACATATATATAATTATACTAGAAAAACAAAAAAATTTATTATTTTTTAAATAAGAAAAAGAAAATACATTTTTCAAAAAAAAAATCGATTAATTTTATTACGCATTATTTTATATATTATTAAATAATAACACATTTGTTTCGTTTCGAGATAGCCTCGAAATTATAATAAGCAAATAATGTTTAACTTCTGTTGGATAAGATTGTTTATAATTTATGGTTGCAAAAGCTAGGATCGTTTGATTCAGAGAAATTATTATAACTAGTCTGCCATGTTTCGAATTTCCAACAACGTATATATCAACTTTTGTAAACTTAAACTTTAACGATTGACCTCTCTCTCTCTCTCTCTCTCTTTCTATCTCTCTCTTTATCTACCCATCTCTCTCTCTCTTTCTCTCTCTCTCTTTCTCTCTCTTTCTCTCTCTCTCTCTTTCTTGCTTTCGAAAATGCAGTTTAACTTTGAAACATTTCACAAACAAGTTTATGAACACTCGTGAACTAGCAAAGCGCGTATAGCCGATACAACATCATGTCCATTAATAGTGCTCAATTAATTACGTCCCTAGATTTTACCTATTACCGAAAATGTCTTCAAAGAAAATTCGAATTTCCTTACTACAACGATTTCGTTTCGAGTCAATTTCTTTTAATCTTAAAATTATTTAAATTCGAACAGAACCATCATAATATATGTATAATTTTATATATTAATTAGTAGAATAAATATCACTACATTCATCAAAATATTCATATTTACGTTAAAACATTACAGTCTACATATATATTTATAAACAATTGCATATATTTTATTAGGAACCTTATAAAAATTCGTTCAAAGTACAAAAATTATTTACGTTACAATTAAATGAAACATATTTCTTGTAATAAAAACAAAGTTTTATAACGTATCTCAAACTTGTTGTGTGTTTAATATGTGTGTGTGCGTAAATAATACTATATACATTGTATGCGTCTTTAAAATTAATTTATTTAAATTAATCGAAGAGAGAAAGAGATTTCTTATCATTGTAAACGTTAAAGAGAGAAAGAGAAAGAGTAATCGTTTTTAGCTCGCGTGTCTTATCTCTTTCACATCTTACTCGTAAAATATTCTTTAGTTAAGGGCGGTTTTAAAAGAAAGAAAAAAAATAGAAAAAAAACCGTGGTATTTATAGGATAACTAATTTGTATCTACAAAAAAAAAAGGAAAAGAGAAGAAAAGAGAAGAGATGAAAAAAAAAATATATATATGTAAAAAAAGTACTCACTATCTGATAAATTTGTTCTTCCTCTTTCCGTTTTCAGTATGCGGAACGCGATGAGATAGAAATATTTATAGAGCGGTCTATTTGTTCCTACAAATAAAAAACAAATAAAACAATGTAAAATATATTCTTGGGGGCAATTGAGTTTTCTTTTCTTTTCTTTTTTTTTTCTTTTTTTTCCAACAAAAAAATACAACGAAAAGCGCGTTTATTTATCCGACAAATGTTTTTTTCTCTCATACTGTATCGTGTAAATACATGGGGCGCGTATGATATGCTTATAGGGGTAGCTAATTTGTTTCTACGAGAAAATAGGGGAAAAAAAGAGAAAAAGAAAAACCAAATTTAAAAAATTCATACAAATTCATAATAAAAAAATGTTGTTTTTAAATTATTCATTTGATTAATAATTCTTATTCCTTTTATTGTTACAGTATGCGGAGATATTCACGGACAGTTTTACGATCTGATGAAATTATTTGAGGTGGGTGGACCACCCACCACAACGAAGTACCTCTTCCTTGGAGACTACGTCGACAGGGGTTATTTTAGTATCGAGGTGAATACCTTTTTAAGATTATCAATACATCTATACTATTTTATTTTTCTTATTTCATCTATTTATTATCCTTTTTATTTTTTTTTTATTTTTCGCGCACATTTTTTTATAGATAATATTACACCGTTATAAATGCATGTGTGCGTGTGTTTGTCATTTTTATTGAAAAACAAAACGATCTTTATTTTCAAATTTATCTTACGTTAGAGATTTTTATCTTTTTTTTTTTTTTTTTTTTTTTAATTATGCAGATGTATTCAAAATATGACAGAACTGATTAATCTTTAACATATCTGTATCTTTCTTTCTTTCTCTCTCTCTCTCTCTCTTTCTCTCTCTCTCTCTCTTTCTTTTTCTTTCCTTTTTGTTTATTTATTCTTTTTTTTTATTTAGTAAACGTATCAATGATACGACAGAATCGATTAACTGTTCGATATTAATTAACGAGTATTTCCATCTTAATGAGAAAAAGGAAAAACAAAATAATCTCTTTCAGATTTTCGTTTAGCAAACGATTTTCTTCTATTTTGTTTAATTTTCTACAATCTAAATGAATTTAATATAGACGTATCGATAATACGATCGAATCGATTAACCATTTAACGTTAATTAATGAACTTACGATTTCAATTAGAAAGTAAATAATCAAATTAACTTTATCTTAAAAATATTTGTAAAAATAATAATTTTTGGATTTTTATTTAAACCAAAAAAAAAGAAAACAAAAAAAAATATAGAAAAATAGTCGGTTCAATGTCAATGAATAACCATAAATATAAAAAAGTAACCAAACAAGAAAATAATAAAAGAAAATAATCTTTAGATGAGAATTGAAGAATATTTAAAAAAAGGAAAAAGAGAATCTTCGAAAGATATTTCTTGTTGGAAAAAAAAAGACAGTGGCATAGTTGCGACAATGTCACAGTCATCGATTAATAGTCTCACAACCATATCTGTTGGCGCCAACGAACACTTTCACGCGTATATTCCTTCTCGAGCGAACGAGCAAAGTTTTCTAACAAGCTTGATTTACGTTAGATATTAACCTTGCTTTTTCTATTTCTCCAGAAGAAATTCTTCAAGATTTTCTTATACGAGTAATAGCAGTAATAGCTGTAATAGTAGTAGTAGTAGTAGTAGTAGTAGTAGTAGTAGTAGTAGTAGTAGTAGTAGTAGTAGTAGTAGTAGAAGTAGTAGTAGTAGTAGTAGTAATAATATAGTAGAAATATTTGTAGTAGTATTTTGGCATCGGTGTATCAACGCGACAACTTGTCCTACTTGCTACTTGTACAATTAATCTTCTAATGTTTTATCTCTAGTTAATTTATTTTCTAATGTGAAAAGATTTTGAAAGATTTAGAAAAATATAGGTAGATAGATAATAGATCAAGATAGAGAGAGGGAGAGATACTGAAATTCAGTGATTCCCAAACATTTTCAATTCTCAACTCCCTTATTGTGAATCCAAATTATTCTAAGGTGTCCTATGTTAAATCCTAACAAGGATTACTTTACGAAATAACTATTAATATTTTTCATAAGTTAGATTTATATAAATAATAAACATTGGAAATCATTAAAGAGTGTAATTTTCAAAGTGGCCCAACTGCATTTATGTTCGAATCGAGATATTGAAGGGTTTGCGTTTCAATGCAATGAAAAATACACGTACAAGATATTAACGAGTTATACTGCTTAAGTGTATCTAAAGGCATTTAATTTATATTTCCTATTAAAATAGTGGCAATTATTAAGTGAATAATGTGCCTTTTCTAACCACGAATGGAGTTAGGCCATTTTAAAAATAAACGGCTCATATAGTCGATTCAACAGTTGAACAACATTATGGAAAATTATAATAATTAGTGTTGTGAATATGTATGAGATACTTCTATCGATAATTATTGCGAGATGCATTTGTTTATCGAGGGATGAATGGAAATATGATATAATATATTGAGAATGTTCGACGTACTTTAAATGATTGTTAATTAGTTACTATAAATGTGTATTGTAATTTGAAAGAACGGATTAAAAGTTCGTTATAACGTACTCTTCGAAATTCAACGTTTTTCATTGTCTTCTATGAAAGTTGATCAAATTTCTTTTATTGTTTCATGTTTTTATATACATAACTTGCAAAAAAATATATTCTATTTCTTGGGAATATTATTCTCGTTATACGCATGTATACTCTCGTTATCCTTCGAAAAGTCATATAAACAATCAATCAATAGAAGAATTATAACTGACTTTCATAGAGGACAACGATTCAATCTATTGTTAGATTTCGAAAAGAACAGTGCGTCGAATTTGTACTCCGTTTATTTAAACTACAATATACCTTCTTTTTGATTAATTAACAATTGTTTAAAGTACGTTGAATACTTTATTATATTTTATTAATATTTTGGATTTTTTTAACTATAATATATTTTTTTTAACGCTCCTGGTTAGTGATAACTTTGAGTTGAAAATTTTTATCTAATAATATATCAGATAGAAATTGTTCAATATTCGAAGTATATTAATACATATGTCATTTGTAAACAAATATAATATATATTATTTTTGATTTAATGGTGAAATTTATTCTGATACTATAAAAAATTTAAATAATGGTAAAAACAAAAGATTTGCGAGAATATTTCAATAATTTTTAAAAATAATTTAACAAGCCGAACGATTTTAAGGGTTAGTCGATTGATTATTTTTCACATGGTAATGAAATATCAATTTAAATAATTAATTTTTAATTTTCTGCTTTTAATTTTCTTGTTTAATCGTATGAAAATGTATTTGCAAAATGCGTATTTACATTTGTAAGTTTTATTACGATTAAAAGTAACAAAGGAAAACGGTAGAAACGTTTGTTCGATGAATATAAAGTGAAAAAGAGATAAAGATAAAAATAGAAAAAAGAAAAAAAAATAAATTACGTAAACGTTAACTTTCAACTTCCATTTTAATTTCTCATTTTTTCTTCCTGTAAAAATACGAATTAATTATTCAGATAAAATGAATTAATCGCAAATTGTGTACTTACATACGTAATTTTAATCATAATTAATATTAATTTAGCAGAAGGTAAGACAATCGTTCGGTGAATAAAGTGAACAAAAGATAAAGATAGAAATAGAAATAGAAAGAGAGAAAGAGAGAGAGAGAGAGAGAGAGAGGGAGAGAAAAAGAGATGAAATCTTTGAGGCTCTTTTACTCCTCCTATTCCTCCTCCTATTCCTCCTCCTACTTCTGCTCCTCCTTACGGGACACTTAATTATCGTCTTCTCTAATTAGCCTTCCACTCGACTAATTACCAATTATCCACCTCTCTTATGTACCTTGCTAAAAGTTAACCAGTAAAAAGAGAAAGAAATAACGATAGTCGTTGTTCTTATGGGGAAAAAAAACGGTCTCTCATTGTCTTCGAACGATTTTTTAACCTCCTACTTCTCATATTCCTCTCACCTAATCTTTATCGTATTCTCATCGACGTTATATCCGATAATCATCTTAAGAGGTTTTTTCTTTCCTTATATCGAAATGTAGATAATTTACATTTCAACTATCTATACGCTGCTGATTCACATAGCTTGCACATCTCGGATAACTTTTAAATTAAGTGCTTAATGAAAAGTCGGTTAATACTAAAATTGCATAGTTTCAAGAAAAAAGTCCTATAACAATAACGTCGTAACATTTTTATTAATTTTTTTTCTTATATATCCACTATTTTTCAATATTTTGAAGGTAAATAACTTTATTCCTTTAAATGGTATAAAAATGTATTTTTCTTATATATATATTTACATAACTATATTTCTCATATACCATTTACTATTACTCTTTCTACCATTTATTCTTTTATACCTTTATTATTACTTTATAATATACATATATTAATACGTTACAATATTATATATTAATATATGTATAATTATTATAATATTAATATTAATATTTAATATTTATGTAAATAGAAAAAATAACAAATTTTAAGTAGAAAAAATAAAAAAGTATTAATCAGTGTTTATGTAAAATCTAATGATCAATGAGTAATTTATTTAACGAAAGGACAAAGTTCGTTTGAAAAGAAAAAAAGTAAACATAGAGAGAGAGGGAGAGAGAGAGAGAGAGAGAAAGAGAGAGAAAGAGAGACAAAGAAAGAGAGAGAAGAATACGAATTGTTGGAACCAAAGTGTGTCTTTCTGATCAGTTTTAGAAACCTGTCTCGAATGGTTTCTCCCTTTCGTTCAGTCGTTTACCTTTATCCAAGATTTGAGCGTTGTTAGTCGATTAAATTGATCCTTGACCTTTCGACTAATGTGAGACGAAAAAAACTCGTTTGAGTAAAAATTGTAGAACGGACCGTGTAACCGATCCAAAGTGTTCTTTGAACATTTTCCTTACTCGTACTCTCATCTTTTTCTCGAGAAAACAGTCGGATTATTAACTCTTTAAAAGTGTCCATACAAAAATATGGTTATAATCCAGTTAGTATACATTTTTTTGTTCGTCAGTCAAAATTTGATTTTCCTTTATTCACAAAACAAATTCCATTTATAGATTTCGGAAGTGAAAACTATTTTAGAATCGGTGTGATTTAAAACTGGAAAGAATGAAAAATATGGAACGAAACGGTCATGTCACTAAAAGAGAAAAAGAGACAAACATATATGTAGGAGAGTTTTAAGCGTAGAAGAATAAACATAGATAAGCGGGTAGGCGACGAAAGAATAAAGGAAAAACGAACCGATAGTCGAAATAAAGAAAGACGGTGTCTGGTCTGTTTTTTGTAAGTTGTTAAGTTGTGTATGTAAGTCTGTGTGAGTTAGAAGGTTCTCGAGCGATATCGATGCTTTGTTTATTGCATCGGACTGAACGTTTGGAAAATTCGAGAACGATACGGATGGATATAAAGGGACGGGGATTTAGTTGAAGAGTAGTCGTAGACAGTGGTAGTCGTAGTCTTGAACGTAAGTCGTCATCGGTCGTTATAA